AAATTCACCAATGGAATAATGAGTTGTCAACTCTCACTACCAAGTCTTTAACTGAAGCTTTAATGGCCGGAATTGGTGAATTTTTTCAAAATATTTTCATGACTAAAAATAGCAAAAGTAAAGAGTTGATTTCATTAATGGCTCAGGGGGTTCAAGAGCCGTTTTTAAAGAGCCAAATTATGAAATTAACATAACGAAAGAGCATGTTCTTGAGTCAATTTTGACTAAGAATGATGTTCCATGCATGGCTTGGGGGTTCTAAAAACCAATTTTTAGAGAGTTAAGTCATGAAAATAACATACGTATCAGGGATTTTCATAAGCCATTAATGGCTAACATGGAAAAATAGCCGACTTTGCCAAATAATTATGAAAATAAATTCGGTGAAAGTCATGTTTTTAAACCAAACATGGTCAAGAATAATGAACAAGCTACTGTTCATGAATTCAAATTTTTTGACATTTTTCAAAGTGTTAAAAAGTATGAATTTTCATGGTCACACTATACCACGACTTTTGTTGTTCAAAATCACTTTTAGATTTGTGGATCACATCAAATGTTGACTTTGATAGAATGACTAACAAATAATATTTTGTTATTGCAATATATTGGGCCAAAAATATGGTTATTAGTTGATCGATAAAGCCATCACCATTTGGTTTTGTGGTTACCTTCGAAGCATGTCCCAAGACACTTCAAAGCATGTTATTAAGAACATGTGAGGGTTGTTAAACCTATTTTCAAAGGATAAATGGTTGTACTGTTATATGTATTCATTGAAATATCATCGTATAGCCACTAATGGCTAATTAAAATGCCAAACTAATAGTAATCCAACTCTTTGGATTTGGTTCGAAGAGATGTTGTGAGCACTTTTGAAGGACGACTTCGATCCTTTAGTAACATATGTGACTTTCGAATGGTGGTTTTGTCATCAATGAACACCTTCGAAATGTAACATGGCACGAGAAAACTTTCGAAATGTGTACATCCCTTCAAATATATGTAAAATGATAATTAATTAATTGTCAAATAATACCATTTTTTGCATGATAATTACTGGCTTTATTGATAAACATTTTTATAGCCATTTGTTACGTGAAAATGTAACTAGTATTCTATAAGAGTTGGTTCGAAGAACAATGGTTTTGGTGTCTTCGGAGAATTAATAATTGGTTCGAAGCACAAAATTAATATTTTCATTAATTATGTGTGAACCAGAACATACAAAATTTGAATAACCACAATGTTGGCCAAAAGTTGTTTCGAAAGCCCTTTCGCCATAATTTTGTAAGCTTCGAAGCACTCCATCTTGCATCAACAACAACTTCAAAAAAACAATATTGGCGGTTATGAACCTTCGAAGCTTTGTCGAGTATTTTCAAGGATGTAATTCGTTCTTTGTCAGTACCTTCCACATTCGAAGGATGATTTTGGTCCTCTATACCACCTTTGAAGCTGGTTATTTAGCATGTGTAACAGTTTGCTAAGGTGAATCATTGGCTTTTCCTTGAAAATATGAGGTTATCTTTCGAAGCTTTTCCGTAAGACCTTTGAATGATGAATTCGGTCATTTATAAACACTTGGACCATAAAAAGGTGATTTTTGGTCCTTTATACCACATTCGAAGCTTGTTATTTAGCATGTGTAACAGCTTGTTAAGGTGAATCATTGGCTTTGCTTTAAAAATATGAGGTTCTGAATGATTTTAAGTGCAAACAACATCAACCTACTTCAAAAGGTTCTAAGTTTTCTAAGTGTTTGAAGTACGAGTAACACAAAATTGTTTAATTTCCTTCAAAGGATTAATGCCGATTTAAAGCACATATATAATATCCCTTCAAGGCGTATATATATATATATATATATATAATTTGAGACATCTAGTCATAATTTCATACTCATTCGAAGAACTTTATTGGTGCTATTATATCATTTGAAGCATTTTGTTGATATTATTCGAAGTACTTTGTTGTTTAGATTAGGTATGTGCTTGATTTGGCCCTTTAAAAATTTAAGTAAATTTCATTCTTAAGGGTCGCGAGGGGTAGTGTTGGCATCATAAATCTGTAATTTTATTATTATTTATTATTTATATAATTGTAGGACATGCGACATCCTCCTACTCATTTGGAGGTTATGAGAAGTTATGAAATGTTGAAAGATAAGGGAGGACAAAGTAGAGAACATGGAGAATGAAGTGGAGGTTGAAGAATAGGGTAGTTATTAGGTAGTTTTTTTACTACATATATGTCTATAAATAGCCATTCATGGCTACATTGTAAAAGGATCCAAAACTCAAATCAAAGACAATTGATTTTTATTTTTCTTGTCATTTATATTTCCTGCATTTTATTTTACGTACTTCATTTTCAAAGCGTTTATTTTCAGCATTTTCTTTTCAAAGCATTTTATGCATTTCCTTTTCAAAACATATGAGTAGAGGTAAGTAATTATTACTTTGATTGTTCATTCAATCATCTTTCTCCATCTCCCTCTTTTTTCTTTTAATTTTTCTTTTCTCTACACTTGGCAATTTTGAAGTCCTCTTTGTTGAGGCAAAAGAACCTTTAATGCTATCACTTGATAATTGGCTTGGATTTAATCTATAAGGATTTTTAATCCTTGCTGGTATGCTCGCATTTATGATATTTTCCTTCGTAAGAAAAATAAGCCAACAGATTCAAAGTCTTCAAATTGGAGACCAGTGTTGCTCTCTTTAATGTGTGAATTCACCATGGTTTCTAATTTGGAGAGCTCGGTGTCGAAGCCAAAGCCGAGGAGGTTGAGGGCTTGGTTGATCTTGTCGACGGTGATTACTTCGTCGTTGAGTAGATCGAATATGTAGCAGAGACGAAGGGAGAAAGGGACGAAAGTATGGCCTCTACCGTTCTTCCTTAGATACTCTCTATGTATATATATATATATATATATTTGTGTATAGATGTTTATTTGATTTTGATTTTAAAGAATTGATTATGTGAATTTTAGGCGTTGTTTATGATTTCTAGAAACGCTACGCAATGCCATCTGAAGACGTTAGGGTTTTTTGCATTCGTCTCTCGTCATCCTTTGTTGTGTTCGATTTCTAGGGTTTCAATCAGTGCATTTGGATCGGGTTTAGACCCTGTCATTGCAAAATTGAGTAGTCGGTCTTTTGTTGTCAAAGTGGAGTCGAATTTCGAAGGAGAAGGAGAAGTAGAAACTACTATTGAGAATGTTGAATATAATGAAAAAGTTGTGATTCTGAAGCTCCTGAAGGAGAAGCAAAATACAGATCTCTTGGTTTTTTTTTTTTTTGATTGTTGTTGTCGTTGTCGTTGTCGTTGTGGTAGATCTAGTGAACAGATATATATATATATTTTTTACTTGTTGATTATTATTATTATTATTATTGTTGTTGTTGTTGTTGATGAAACAAATTGCAACAGATAGGGGATTTTTATAGTTAGATTTAAACATATAAGGGACCTTATGTGTCTTTGATCTGTTCAAAATGGGTCTGATATTTCAACAAATAGTTTTTTACTAGATATGTTGAAAAAGAAAAATATATTTTTTATTGAATAGATTGGAATTTCAATAGATAAAAAATTTCACTCGATAAAATAATATAAAGGGAAAAATTTAACAGATAGTCAAAAAAATAAATAGATAAAAAACTAATTTGAACAGATAGTTAAAAAATTTGAACAGACAGACAAAAAATTAGAGTAGATAGTCAACGAAAAGTCAAACAAATAAAAAAAAGTCAATGGATAAAATTGGAAACAAAATGTTATTTAGGATTTTTCACCAAACTATTTCACAAAAAGTGGACATCTCATAACAAAAAATATTTACTGGATTTATTGCTTTAGACAATTGCTAGAGTGGATTTTTCACTAATTTTCTCTTTACTCCTTAGTATAAAATAAAATAAATCAAACAATTACCATTGTATATGAGATGGTAATTTGTGTAGCCAAATTGGGCCGAGCTAGGTATGATGGTCTTTGAAGGTTCGACCGCCTAATGGGCTAGTATGAGAGCTTGGGTAGCTCGGTCTTGGGCTAAACAGGCTCTAGGCCGGTCTGAGGTGGGTTGCTAGAGCTTGGACCTAGCTATCAATAGGTAATCTATAAGCAGACCGAGATGTCTTTAATAAAGGGGGCCGATGAAGGGGGTCGAGCTATGTGCTGCTCAACAGGGTGCCATTTCGTAGCCCATGTTAATACAGCTCTACTTGAAGGAGCACAGAGCAAGATAGCTCGGTTGACCGCAATGACAGTTGAGCAAGGAGTTTTAGCCATCTCATTTGGTTGGCAATGAAAAGAGTGTTCTGAGGATAAGCATCATCCTCAAGAGTGTGATTCCTAAAAGGACTCTGCTAATAAGAGTTAGAGTCTTACTAAGATTGTGTTATGCAGAATCTACAAAAGTTTAAGCTAAACCCTAATCTCGAGTATGGCAATTCATACTTTTGAATTCACAAAGGTTTTGTATCTATTGTCTATTTGTTGACTTATGCATTGGAGTGGTTTCCGACACATACCCGTTGGTCAGTTCACGTTTGTGTTTTCAGGTGATAAGACGATGACGTTTGGAAGAGTGCAAACTTGATCAATAAGATTATATGAGACTGATTATTTCATGCTTGTACAGTACATATATCCAATAATAACATCACTAACAAAATAGGAATGAGTTTCCATAAAACAATATTACAAATCCGCTCTGTGATGTTACCTTAATACAGATTTCTATTGCATCTTTTTAAGACTCAAGTTCAGAAAACAATCTACACAAGAAATTCCAAGTGATCCATATTACTTTGGATTGCAATCGTTTTTTTGGGAATTAGTTATTTTAGTTGGATTATTACGAAAGATGTGCAAAAAAAAGAGAAAATAGTTGATTTTTTTGTAATGACTTTTTGACTATTTTAGCTCATTGTCAAAATATTAAGTCGTGGAGTTGTCTTTCACCAACTCTTTTTGCTTGAAACTTCTACTTTCTATACTGAGAATGGTAGGCAATCTTTCAAAAACTGAATATGTTAATTTGTCTTGATTACAAGCAAACAGCACAAGCTAAACAATAGTATCACGACGCCATGTCCGTGGGAATGCTGAAAGCATACACTCTATCCCTGGCCTTCTTTGCCTGGGAAAATTGAAGTTAGTATCAGTTGAAGTAAATTAATAGTCTTAGCAACTTAGTTTAAAGGAAGAACTTAATATACTTGATACTCCCAATCCGTGCGCAGGGTAATAACTAATAGCAGTATTCCTTGCAGGCCACTCCCGCCTATAATTCCTATCCACAGGCCCTACAACAAAGTTGGCATCAATGGCATTAGAAAGGCAACACTTTTTTCTTTTTCTTTTTTTTTTTCTCTCTCTCTCTCTCTCTACAGCTCCAACTTCATGATTAGTCTGTTTGGATTGAGTGATTTGGAGGAAAAAAGAAAAGAAATCTATTTCTCTTGATCCTAATCATTTGTTTGGATTACTAACGCTGTGTTTGATTGGGGGATTTTGGAAGGAATTTGGAAAGAGAAAGAGAAACAGAAAATGTAGGTGAAATATGAATAAAATATACCTATATTTCACCTAGTTTCACACACACTTTCCATTTCTTTTTCCAAATCTCTTATTAAATCCCACAACCAAATACAAAATAAAGAGATGAGAGAAATGAGGAGAAATGGAAAGAAATTGAGAGAAATTGATTTCTCTTACAACCCACTTATTGAATCACTTCAAAATTGGAGAGATTGATTGGAAGAGAAAAAAATGAGAGGATTACAATTTTTGTATAATACCAAGATGGACCATCCACCTACTAAAGAAATAAAACATAAAAAGTTATTTTGGTAATATTACTTGTAAGAGTTTCTTTTCTTCTCTTTTACGTAGTGTGTCCAAACAAGAGTGGAGAAAAATCACTATCTTCTCTTTTATTTTCTCTCCAACTTAACTAAACAAGAAAGAGAGAAATCACCATCTTTTCTTTAGATATCCAAACATAGTGGATAAGTTGACAAGGGGTTTGCACATATGGATTTGCAATTCTTGTTTATTTGTTCCTTCTTTGATATTGTCTCACCAATTCTAATTAACGCTGTGTTTGGTTGGAGATTTGAAAAGGGATTTAGAAAGAAAAAGAGAAAAGATAGGTGAAATGTTAATAAAATATACCTATATTTCATTTAGTTTCACATATTTTTTTCATTTTCTTTTCCAAATTTCTTCCCAAATCCCCCAAGTAAGCACAACGCAAGTGTTCTCCAATTCTTAACAAGATAAACTTCTTACCTTTCCTCCAAGATGGAGGGCAAAAGTAAAGATAATTGCACAAGGCAGGCCAACAAGGTAATAAGCTCCTAGATTCACAAATGCACCAATCTTTTGCCATCCACATCCTCTTACCGTACCTTTTGCAACTCAAAATTTTCCATGAGGTAGGTTAGAGTCATAAACAAAACTAAAGAAACCAAGTTGAAAAAACAGAACTAAAATACTAATTTGGAGAGGAATGATATATATAGGATCTAACCTGAGAGTACACCTTGAATTCCATCCAGGAAGTTGGAAGATGCAAGTACTGGCATTATGGCAGCTATGTATTTCACAACTTCCTCTTCATTGGTGAACATATAACCCCATATGTTGCGCACCGCTAATAAAATTAAGCTTAGCAACAGGCCCTCTGCTATGGCCAGGAATATCACAACTTGCACAGCAAGTCGCACAGCGCTTGGTTTTCCTGCGCCTAATTCATTTGAAACTCTCGTGCTTTGAATGTGAAAGATGACGAAATTTCATTAGGATATAGGTAAGAGAAATCTACAGCTAATGATCATTTGAAGGCATTTCATCAAATTTACCTTACTGCACTGCCAAAACCATAGGGGATTCTGAAGATCAATGCACTTGTGCTAAGGCTGGAGAAAGAAAGATCAATCAAGTTAGAAACTTGGCAGTTCACGTACATAACATATACAAATTTCCATGTTTTTTTTTTTAACGTGAAAAAAAAAAAACCTTTTTTTTTTGTGGTCTTTTTTGATAAGATTAGACGAAATATGTCATCTCCAAAGAACTTATCCCAAGATGAGTATTTTAGTAATTTTGTGATAAAAATGATAAGCAGTATATGTTGTCATGCATATATGCGATAAAAGACCCCCGAGATTAGTTATCCCATGTCATAAAATTTAAACTAAATGCAGGATTATTTTATCCTGAACTTATTTAGTCCAATCTCTCATTATCCACGAATCAAATGTGGCCTTAAAACTTTGCAGAAAAAGAAGAAGAAAATGTTCTCTTCCTCACTAAAAAACTCAAAGATAAAGTTTGATGAAAATGCAAACCTGACTGACATCATTGATGTTTCTAGCTTTGGATTAGGTAGAAGACCTGACATGAGAACCAAAAACTCGTAGGACCAGTACTCCAAGCTGATTCATATCACAATCACAATCACAATAACTTTAAACTGGTGCTGTAAACAATAGAACATTACATGTGTTCTGTAGGGCAAGGGATCCTCTATGCTCCAAAATCTCAATCCCTAGAGGCGGTGCTAGGATTACTTAGTTGGGGGAACCAAAATGAAATTCATGGGACTCTAGGACCCTTGTTGGTCCCCCCTCGCTCTGCCCCTGTCCTCAATGTACTTCCAATTGAATGATTTGATAGAAATCTCAAATCATGAACAGGAATCTCAAGGTATGATTGTGCGACTAGGATTACACTGGGGACAAAGGGACATATTTTAGGAATAGAGGATCCCGTCATACAAACTTATTGGTTGTGTTGAATATTACAGAAATAGGCATTTTTGTTAGAGAAGTGGATGGAAATTTGAAAATTTCAACACAATTATAGTATCAACTCTAATGTTATGTATCTGCAAAATGTATTAAGAATAGTGTCCAGAATTTGAATATGGTGCAAATTTAAATTTATTGTGATGTGAATCACACTTAGAATAAATTTGATTTACACGTTTCAAATTCTGAACACTCTTCTAAATATTTTTTCTAGGTATGTAATATTCCTATTACGTATAACTCACCAAACCATAAGAGCTGAAGGAACAGCCAATGACAGAAAGCCAACAAGGTCTTTCAAACCCTCCTTAGAGAAACCAATCCATGTCTTTTGACAAGTAGGTGAGAACTTGATATAAAGAGCCACACCCACCACATTAAGCCAATAAGAGATAGCAATGGCCAATGCAGCCCCTTTGCTCCCAAACCCAAATCCAAAAACCAAAGCCCAACATAAAACCACATGAACAATGCTTGTCAAGCATGTGATTATCATCAATGGCTTGACACTGTTTTGAGTCTGCAAGAATCTGAGTTGGCATTGAAGGACACCATATGGGAAGATGCTAGGGATGAGCCAACATGCATATATGCCAGCTTGGGTTGAGATCTCAATGTCTTGTCCACAGAGCTTGAAAATTGAGCCTGTAAATACCCAAATGATTGATATGGGAATGCCCATTAGGAGAAGAACTAGCATTGCTCTTTGCATGTGTATGCCTAGCATGTAGTATTGTTTTGCTCCATAGGCTTGTCCACATTGTGTCTCCAATGCACTTCCCATCCCCAACTAGTAAACATGAATTATTAAGTGTATCACTGTTAAAATAGTATAGTATAACAAAAAATAGGCACTTGAGCAATGTAGTATATGTTGTGTTAAAATAGTTCCTTGTGTCAAATTTGACTATATACTATATATTTGACCAGTTGATTTTTTTGTCACAAAATTATATATATGTCATCATAATTAGAGTTTGATTTATCAATATGAGTTGTTGGAATATAATTGTTCAGTTTGATGCAATTCTCCTCAGATTTATAAATAATTTCTTATTGATTGACAAAAAATTAGGAGATTATTTATAACAAAATAAATAAATGATCTATGCTATGTCTAATTTGATTTATCAGTATGAGTTTTCGGAATATAATTGTTCAATTTGATTTGATTCTCCTCTCATTTATAAACAATCTCTTATTGATTGACAAAAAAATAAAAGATTATTTATAACAAAATAAATAAACAGATCTATGCTATTTTAACAAAACAAGTACTAATTTTTTTGAGTAACTTGTGACAAATTGGTATAAAAGTGCACTTTTACTGTTCTAAAACATACAAAAAAATACTATACCATTTTAAGATGCTCTTTCAAAAAAAAGAAACAAACAAGAGATGAGAATTTTTATGCTGTCGTTTGGCAAGTGATTTTTGGCTTAAAAAAAACAAAAAAAAAAAGTTAAAAAAGCCAAAAATTCAACCCCATTAATAAAGGATCACACCATGAATATCAATTAATCATTTTTTTCTTCACAATTATCTATTCAATTAAAAAAATCATTCTCAAATATATTATTATTTTTTTGCCTCATAAAAAGTCTAAAAAACCAAGTTTCGAAACTGGCCTATGTGCTTAGAAAAAAAAAAAAAAACTGAACTATGTGTAGAAATTAGACACAGTGAGCACGTATAAATAAATACATATATGGCAGGCTCACCTCCAGAAGTGTGAATGCACATGTGTATCGATGGAGTGGGGAGGATGATATCTGAATTCAGATTATTCAATATCATTCAGATTATTCAATTAATGGCATCAACTACCCTTTTGATAAATGCACATCTAATCTTGAAGACTCTGGTTCTTGTTAATTTACCAAAAATGTATATCTTTGGGTAAATTAAAATAATATTGATTTTTTTTAATTTGAGTGAAACTTTACTTTAGTCATTGTAGTTTTAATTTGAATAATTTGATCTTTATATTTTTAATCTTGTTGCAACGTCGTCTCTTTGTCATGCATTGTTAACATTGGGAATGGAAAAAAATACGAGCAAAACTAGAGAGACTATAAAGTAAAATTCAAAATAAATTACAAAGACCACTGGTATAATAAAAATTTTAAATTGGTGGTTAACGTAATTTATTTTGAATTTTACTTTGGTCCTTCCAATTTTATATATGGTCTTTTTTCTGTTCTAAATTTTAATGATAAGTAATGTAGTGATCATATTGTAACAAAATTGAAGTATAGGATGTAAATTGTTTGAATTAAAATTACAATAATTGAAGTGACACTTCAGGACTTAATGTATAATTTATATATCTTTTATGGACCATTTATCCATGGGGCTTGGGGGCCCCTTCTCTTGAATCATTTGCATTGGTTGCTTTCATAGACCATTTATCCATGGGGCTTGGGGGCCTCTTCTCTTGAATCATTTACATTGGTTGCATTTGAAGTTTCAAAACCTATTTCGTTTTCAGAATTTGTATTGTGAAAAATACTAAAAAAAATTTAGTAAAAATAATGCCAAAAGATGTTTTTGAAATTTCAAAACCTATTTTTGCACTCAATATATATATATATATATATAAAATAAAGAGTGTTTTTGAAAATTTTTAATCATTTTTCACTAAATTAATTTTTAATATATTTTTTTATTAAACAACTAAACAAAACCAAACAAATTAATTACTTTCTTTTATGCCTGCTTTGCGGGCCTCAGTTATCTGATGTGATGGTTAAGCAATCACCGTAGGCATGGAATTTTCTATGAGCAAGGTTAGAGACTATTAAAAGTGGTGTTCTAAAATAACTATTAATGATGTGATATTTATTTAAAAAAAAAAGAAATAGACAAAATAATATTGTGGCAGTGGGTGGGATCTATTGTCACCTTATTAGTGGTGGCACTAATTAGTGCTCCTACTTATTTTTTATTTTCTATCCCACTTGTAGTGTTTTGAAAAATTGATAAAAAATTAACTTTTTTTTGACTTTTTAACTTTTTGATGACTTTTTTAGCTAACAAAATTAGCTTTTTGGTGACTTTTTTAACTAAAAAAAAGTTAGTTTTTTTGATGACTAAAAAGTTAAAAAATTAAGGTAGCGTTTGGTAGAGTTTTGTAAATGTGATTTAAGAGTATGAGTTATATTTTGAGTTTGTGTGTTGTGGAGTTATGATTTGAGTGTAGAAAATTTGATAAAGAGTGTTTTTGAAAATTTTTAATCATTTTTCACTAAATTAATTTTTAATATATTTTTTTATTAAACAACCAAACAAAACCAAACAAATTAATTACTTTCTTTTATGCCTGCTTTTTGCGGGCCTCAGTTATCTGATGTGATGGTTAAGCAATCACCATAGGCATGGAATTTTCTATGAGCAAGGTTAGAGACTATTAAAAGTGGTGTTCTAAAATAACTATTAATGATGTGATATTTATTTAAAAAAAAAAAATAGACAAAATAATATTGTGTCAGTGGGTGGGATCTACTGTCACCTCATTAGTGGTGACACTAATTAGTGCTCCTACTTATTTTTTATTTTCTATCCCACTTGTAGTGTTTTGAAAAGTTGATAAAAAATTAACTTTTTTTTGACTTTTTAACTTTTTGATGACTTTTTTGGCTAACAAAATTAGCTTTTTGGTGACTTTTTTAACTAAAAAAAAGTTAGTTTTTTTGATGACTAAAAAGTTAAAAAATTAACTTTTTAACATGTTCCCAAATATCATTTTAATCATTAATTTCAGTGATGTGATAATAAATTTAAAATTATATATTAAATTTTTTTAATGCACATCAACCGATCATAAAGGGACAATATGGGATGATTGGCTTTTTAACCTGATTACAAAGTCCTAAACAAACATCATACTGAAACACAGTGTAGAATCACGTTTCAAAAGCACAACCAAACACAGCCTAACTTTTTAACATGTTCCAAGTATCATTTTAATCATTAATTTCAGTGATGTGATAATAAATTTAAAATTATATATTAAATTTTTTTAATGCACATCAACCGATCATAAAGGGACAATATGGGATGATTGGCTTTTTAACCTCTTTTTTTTTTTTTTTTTTAGTTTTAATTTTTTTGGGTTACATTATCTCTCTATTTGTTTATATACAAAAAAAAAAAATTAAAAAAAGTCAAAAATTCAGCCTATTACTATCTTCCCAAAATACCACAAAATATTTATTAGTGAATCTTTTAGAGTATGCTCATGGTGAGGTGAAATTTTTGTATATTGAGAGAGTATCACATAATACTGTAGTATATTTTACTAATCACAAACGTATCTTTTGTTGTTTTTTAAACACTCAACATAAGTGTAATGGATTTTATTGTCAAATCCAATTATAATATAAAAAGATATCATGTGACATCTACCTATTGACACAAAAAAAATTCTTCTACGATGAGACCCACTTTTGTGAGTATTATATATGTGATCGATTTTAGTGTAGTATTTTTTTTGAATAATACTAAAGATCCACATTTTAGATTCACAAATTTACCTATAATGATATGATAAGAAATGTATACTTTATATCATTGAGTATGTAATTAATTAAAAGTAGATACCTATCATACTTTATCAGTGTTGGTCAAATTGTAGAATTATTTTTTTGTGTGTGTGTAGATCTCAAATATATATATATATATATATTTCTCCATTGTAAAGATGGAGAAATTATTCTGAGGAGTTGGAAAGGAATTTCCAAAATTTACTAGAAAAGCATATTTGGAAGGAAAGGTGATTATCTCAAGAGGATTTTTTGTTTTTTTTATATTAATTGATAGGTAAATAATTATAAGTACGAAAAATATTATATCAAACTATTAATTTACAATAATTAAAAAGTGAACAAAACTTATTAAGATTACTAAACTCAAGTTCAACAATAACTCCACTACTGCTTATATACAAACCCCACAATGAGGGCAAATAATCACCTGTCACAAATGCCATCAAACTCCCCTCCATATAAGTTGAATATAAAACTTCACATCACAAAAAAATATTACATAACCACTAAACCAAATGTGGAAAACAAAATATCATGACCAGTTTTGTAGTGTTTAGACTATAACTTTTAAAGACTTTTCTCTTCATTGTTTTTTATTGATCTTCTCATTATTCGAGCTATGGCGACTTGAATCACTGAGCTACCTGTTTTATTTATCTTATTCTCTTCGTTAACATATGTGAAAAACAAAAAATTATGACCAATTTTGTAGTGTTTAGATTATAACTGGTGATTTCTCTTCATTAACATATGTGAAAAACAAAGGATTATGATCACTGATACTGTTACATATACTCTTCATTAACATATACTCTTTGCTATGACGAGTGATTTGTTGTATATACGCAACAATTAGCCTCACAGTATTTTTGTTTTTTCATTTTTTTAGAAACAAAATAATATATATATATATATTTTTAAATATTATCATTTTTTTGTAATATGAGAAGAATAGGACAAATGAAAGTTGGAGTATTACACAACAAGAAAGATTCGAACCAGACATCACAGCTTATTAGGGCTTCCTTTATTAAAGCTAATTCTTGATTTATACTTTTTAAAATTTCAAAAACATTTTTTTAAGTGCTTATTAAAAAGTGGGTTACTTTTAGGGAAAAAAAAAAGATCAAAAATAGAAAACAAAAATAAAAAACGTGCTCTTACTAATTCCATAGAAGAGCAAGAACATTAGTCAAAATGAGAGAAAATCAATGGCACATATCAAAGCAAATATAGACAAGAATGTGACATACCATGAAGCTAAAACCAGTGACACTGGTGAACGAAGAAGCCATAGAAGCACTGGAGAGAGAGAGCTCATCAAGATGACCTATGAACATGACTGACACAATCTGTAAACTGTACTGCAACAAACTAACAACAACAAGAGGTCCAGCCAACTGCACTTGTTTATACAGCTCTGCTGTAATCTCCCCCGATACATCGCTGCCTTGGCATTCCTTGTTATTGTTTTGTTTTTCATTGTGTTCAATGTTGCCATTTTCAGAGCTTGGAAGGAGAGGAGATTCAAGATCAGGCTTGGAATTTTCTTGAATAGCCATTTGCAGAGCTTGGAATTTTCTCTCTCTATTTGTTAACCACAGTTTCCTTTGATGAAGGAAATGTGGAGAAGAATTGTTTTTTTTGTTGAAAGGTGAGATGAGAGTGAGATACTATATGGAACAATTCCGACCTATTATATAGCTAACAAGTGCAATTTTGATGAAGGAAATGTGGAGAAGAACTGTTTTTTTTTGTTGAAAGGCGAGATGAGAGTGAGATACTATATGGAACAAGAGCAATGCTAGGTATCATGAAAAAACTTTCATGAAAATGATCATGAAATATTTATGACCTTTGGATTACACTTAAAATAAAACACCACACACTAATCAAGGTAATTTAAGGGTCATAAATTTTTCATGATCAGTTTCATGAAAGTTTTTTCATGATCCCTATCTTCTCTCATGGAACAATTCCGACCTATTATATAGCTAACAAGTGCAATCAATGATGACGAACACCATTATTTATTGAGTATCAAACAAATGGCTTGTTTGGTGTAATTTTTTTTTTATAAGGTAAAAATTGATAATCAAAAAATAAAATAAAATTCGATAAAAAAAAAAATCCATTTTAATTGGTTATCAAAATATGTGTTTTGTGTTATTTCGTCCTATGTCTCACATGGGTGTAGGGCCAATAGTCAAATATTTGATTGATTAAGTAATAAGTCAACTCAAATATTTGATTAAGTAATAAGTAAAAATTGGTAATGTTAGGGACACCAAATTTTCTACCAAACAAATGACCAAATGTCTCACATGGATGTGGGGTTCGCAATTTTGTGGACCCCACACCCATGTGAGACATTTGCTCATTTATTTAGTAGAAAATTTAGAACCTCTAACTTTTTCCGATATTTTAAATGTGTCAATTAGGTCTCTAATTTATTAATTTTGTCACTAAATAATCCCCACCTCGATTTCTATCTACAATTAATAATGAAAGTAAGTGCACTTTCGTCAAATCACATATGACAATAAATAAGTTGGGAACTAATTGATACAACTGAAAACATTGGAAATCAAAATAAAACAAATCACATACTTTGGCTTTTTTGTAGGAATTATTTAATAGCAAAATTAATAGATTGGGGATTAAATTGACATATTTAAAATATTAAAGACTAAAATGATACAAGATGCATATTTTGGGAACTAAAAATATAATTAGCTCATCCATTTAAGTTAGTTCTTCACCAAAATTGGCACCGATTTGCAAAACTTAAAAAAAAAAAAAAAAAAAAAAAAAAATCTTTCAAAACTTCACCAAACAAAGCTAAAGAATGCCAACTGGGGTAATTCTATTTTTTTTTTATCAGTAAAGTGAAAATTTTTATTAATAATATGAAATTAAAGGTATAAGAAGATGCAATACATCGAGAGAGATTTGGAAAATCCATACAACTAACTCTTGGCCTCACAATTTTTTTTTAAAAAAAAAAAAAAAAAAAAAGAAAAAAAAAAACAATTTAAAAAAAAAAAAAAAAAAAAAAAAAAAAAAAAAACCTTAAAATGAAAAAAACATAAATTAAAAAAAAATAACGAGAAAAAACTTAAAAAATGAAAAAAAAACGTAAATTAAAAAAAAATAACGAGAAAAATATGCCTCATTCAAAAATATTTTTAAAAAAAATATAAAAACATAAATTACCATTCGCGACGTAATTTAGAAATAAATAAAACACATGAAAACTCATTTTTGAAAAATAAAAAAAAAAGTTATTGTACATCAATAAAAATAAAAAGATAAAAAAATACGCCAAATCCAAACCCAAAATAAAAAACTTAAAAAAAAAATTAAGCAAAATATGCCAAATCCAAACCCAAAATAAAAAAATTAAAAATAAAAAAAATTTAAAAGCAAAATATGCCAAATCCAAACCCAAAATAAAAAAATTAAAAATAAAAAAAATTTAAAAGCAAAATATGCCAAATCCAAACCCAAAATAAAAAAATTAAAAATAAAAAAAATTTAAAAGCAAAATATGCCAAATCCAAACCCAAAATAAAAAAATTAAAAATAAAAAAAATTTAAAAGCAAAATATGCCAAATCCAAACCCAAAATAAAAAAATTAAAAATAAAAAAAATTTAAAAGCAAAATATGCCAAATCCAAACCCAAAATAAAAAAATTAAAAATAAAAAAAATTTAAAAGCAAAATATGCCAAATCCAAACCCAAAATAAAAAAATTAAAAATAAAAAAAATTTAAAAGCAAAATATGCCAAATCCAAACCCAAAATAAAAAAATTAAAAATAAAAAAAATTTAAAAGCAAAATATGCCAAATCCAAACCCAAAATAAAAAAATTAAAAATAAAAAAAATTTAAAAGCAAAATATGCCAAATCCAAACCCAAAATAAAAAAATTAAAAATAAAAAAAATTTAAAAGCAAAATATGCCAAATCCAAACCCAAAATAAAAAAATTAAAAATAAAAAAAATTTAAAAGCAAAATATGCCAAATCCAAACCCAAAATAAAAAAATTAAAAATAAAAAAAATTTAAAAGCAAAATATGCCAAATCCAAACCCAAAATAAAAAAATTAAAAATAAAAAAAATTTAAAAGCAAAATATGCCAAATCCAAACCCAAAATAAAAAAATTAAAAATAAAAAAAATTTAAAAGCAAAATATGCCAAATCCAAACCCAAAATAAAAAAATTAAAAATAAAAAAAATTTAAAAGCAAAATATGCCAAATCCAAACCCAAAATAAAAAAATTAAAAATAAAAAAAATTTAAAAGCAAAATATGCCAAATCCAAACCCAAAATAAAAAAATTAAAAATAAAAAAAATTTAAAAGCAAAATATGCCAAATCCAAACCCAAAATAAAAAAATTAAAAATAAAAAAAATTTAAAAGCAAAATATGCCAAATCCAAACCCAAAATAAAAAAATTAAAAATAAAAAAAATTTAAAAGCAAAATATGCCAAATCCAAACCCAAAATAAAAAAATTAAAAATAAAAAAAATTTAAAAGCAAAATATGCCAAATCCAAACCCAAAATAAAAAAATTAAAAATAAAAAAAATTTAAAAGCAAAATATGCCAAATCCAAACCCAAAATAAAAAAATTAAAAATAAAAAAAATTTAAAAGCAAAATATGCCAAATCCAAACCCAAAATAAAAAAATAAAAAATAAAAAAAAATTTAAGCAAAATACGCCAAATCCAAACCGAAAATAATAAATAAATAAATAACATTTAAGCAAAATTTGCCAAATCCAAACCCAAAATAAAAAAATAAAAAAAAAAGCCAAAAAGGGCATATTGGTAATTTAATAGGAAGACACCTCACAAAAAAGCCAAAAAACCCTTCCCAAATCAAGCTTTTTAACCCCAGGCTAAAATAGGCAAAAAAAATCAAAAAGTCAACCCACTTTTCAAACGGAGGCCAAGTTGTACTTTAATTTTTAATGATAAATTCATTATTATAAAAATATTTTTAAAAAACACAATTCAACTACTTCTAGTTTTTCATATTTTATTTCAACACAAAGTAACACAAATAAACTAAAATTAAATCAAAAGTTACAACCAAAAGTCAAAATATTTTGATCATTTATCACTTTGATAATTTCTCCATATTATCACCATTGCCAAATAATCAATTTTTTTTTGTTTGTTGATAATCCAGGATATTTCCCATCGAGTCCAATGATTAGAAATTAATGATTAGATAAAATTTCAAATGATCATTCCACAACACAAAACATATATCTAAAAAATCTCAAAATTCTCTCATTATGAAAACAATTGACAAATACGTTAGAACATTTCACTCAGGATTTATAAGTAAATACAAGTCATTTGAGAACAAACTTTTTAAATGGTTTTTAAATTTTTTATCTAAAATATGAGATTAAAAAAATTAATATGTTTATAATGATTGTTTAATTTTTTTACCAAAAAGTATGCAAAAAGTAAAATAAATAGAAAAAAATCTTATACTTTTTGTATTTTTTAATTTTTTAATTTTTTTACTTTTAAACTATTTTGATGAGTTGCCAAACGAGCTTCAAGTCCGTAGTACCGGCCGATAATTTTTTGTTTTATTTATTTCTATTTTTTGTGGTCTTGTGACATACCCATCTCCACAACTTATTTCTTGCGGCCCATTGCAAAATAATGTATTATACAGACCAAAGGGCAAACCCAAAAACACATTAAAAAAGAGCCCAACTTTTGAAGAGTGATGTAGAAACTTTTAAACACCAAATATATAAATTTTGGCCCACCAGACCTTGATCAGGTTTCTTCTGGGCAGGCTCTCACCAAATCATCATCGGGCCCGAAATTTCCTTAAGTTGTTAATGAAAAATTCTACCTTCGTTTTGATAATAAGAAAATTTTAAAAAAAATTATATGTATGCTTTTTATTTGTGGAATGATCATTTGATACTAATAATGATATTAAGAAATTTGTCAAAATGATAAAATAATTGAGACATTTTAGCTTTTGCATATTAGTTTTGATTTATTTTTAATTTATTTGTGTTAGTTTATATTAAAATATGATGTGACAAGAGTAAATAATTGAATTGTATTTTATAAAAATATTTTTTTAGTGATAAATTTATTATTGAAAATTAAAGAACAATTTATTGATAAATAAGCCGGGTGTGGATTGGCAACTAGGGATGTCAATGGGGGTTAATGAGGTGGATATTAATTCTCCATCTCCATTCCCCTATAATTATTTTTCTCCATTCTCCATTCCCCATGGTACTACCCTTCCTATCTCCTAATGGGTTTAGATTTTTCCTAACCCAACTTGACCCCCCCTTTTTTTTTGTAAGATTCACAACCAAAGCTAAATATACATTCAATCTTATTTTATTTTATTTGGTTTAACAACAAAATCAAATACATATTAATTAACATTGTCACATTATTCTTGTCAAATTTTATGTATATTTAGTATTTTTAAAAATTATTTAGAAAAATTCTATTCCTACAAAAAGATTCCATCTTCTTTTTTAATTTTTTTTAAAACTTTTTTAATTTTATGTATCTCCTTCTCCTCTCTGTTAATTGATCTTCGATAATCTGAAGTTGAGTTGTTATTCTCGTTTCCATCTTCTTCTACTTCTTCTTCTTCTTCTTCTTTTAAATTTTTATTTACATTTATAGAATGAATTTTCTTGTTTCAATATCTTTTGCAATTGTTTTATTAGATTTCTCTCTGATTTGATGGTAAGCTTAGATTGAATTTCTCAATTT